ACATAAAAAACATTTTTATTACTTGCATCGTTAAAAAAAAAAAAAAAAAAAAAAAAAAAAAAAAAAAAAACACTTTAATCAGTTTTCATACAAATGTTATGGACAGTGGCAGATTTTGCTTTCGTTAAGAAAGAAACTTCATAATTTTGTTCATAGCAATTGCCACGTAGGCCTGCTTACGCTAATAAAAGTTTTTCTAATGTGTAATCACTAATATTAGATCTAAATTTAGTACTCGTTTTCGCAACAACACTGAAAATCCTCTCACACTCCGCATTACTATGGGGAGCTGTCAAGATGGCCAATATAATTCTAGAGAGTTCACTATATTTTAAAATTCCATCAGCATCTTTCAATTTTCCAATTAAACTCCACTGGGTGTCAATCCTAGCTGATTTATAACTTCATCCAAGTTTTCTAATTGTAAACTGCAAAATTCTGACTGCAGTATATCAGTAGCAACATCAATATCGTCATCTTTCATGACTAAACGAAGTAACACAGGAAATCTGTTCAAAAAGTACCTTATATCAGAAAAAGATGCATTTGCTAGAGCAGAAATATCAGTAACTTTAGCATGCAAAATCACTTCATCGTTGACTGGAAATTTATGTAGTATGTAATCACATACTCGACAGAAGTAACTTCTAACATGAAGATAAAACTTATTTTTGTCTTCTTCTGAAAGTTCTTCCACTACTTTCGTAGTTGCAGCTCCTATTACCAAATCTTCATCTTTCTTCTGATTTTCTGTTTCACCATAAATCACATCATATATAGAATTACAAGACAAAACACAGACTGGTTTTACAAACTTTGATAAAATGTCCTTAAACAGATCATAAATCATTGATTGCAAAACATGAATTAATGGAATTCTGCTTTGTAGAATTGCGTTAAGAACATCGAATGATGGCAAAATGAATTGTAAAAAAAAAAAGCAAAAAGCTTTGTTAAGGTCCGAAGAAAAAAACATAAATATTCGTTCTTCACAAGATAAACTTACAATAATCGGAAAATGTTTCGTGTGTTGAGCAATTTTTTTTATTTTGAGAGAAATTTGTATCAGCTTTACGCTTATATTTTGCAGTATTATTTTGAGAACTGCCAGTTGAATTGCTGAATGATGCAGAAATTACTTTATTTTTCTCAAACCTATTTTTAACAATGGAAGTAGTAACTACATCTCCATTTACTTTAGGTGCTTTATAACTTTCAATAGAGCCTTTTATCTTAACTCTCGAAGCATTTACTTCTTTAAAAAATGCAAGAAGTGGGTTCCATTGATCGAGGATTCTAGATAAGCATTTCTTTAAAGACAGCCAGCGTGTACATACATGTTTCAAAATTTTTCTTATGTCAGTATTATGCAGCTGTTGGAACTGTTTCAATTTTCCCTTTCTTTTAGAACTCCTTTCAAGATAATAATAAATATCAACAATGTGTTCATCCACATTTAATGGTAAAGAAGCTGCCCCCTTTTTCAGCTGCTAAATTTAAGAGGTGACAGGTGCACTTCATAATCTGCAAATCTAAATTTGCCTTTCTTAAGATGCCTGCAACACCAGTCTTCAAGCCTACCATTACTGGTGCATTATCGGCACCAAGTGCTAAGCAATTATCCAGAGGGACTGTATTTTCTTTTAAAGTTTCAATAATTAGCTGTGCTATATTAAAGCCTGTCGAATGTCCTTCTAAAGTGAGGAGAGAAAGTAAACTGCACTCAATTTCTGAAGACTCTGGATTAAAAAAAGAAACAACAATTGGATACAGTTTTGAATTGGTATTATAGCTTCCTTTCGTAGAGAGGCAGAACGGAGCTGTTTTAATGCAATCAATAACTGAAGATTTATTTTTCAAACCCATTTCTTTAACAATTGCACCTGTTTTGGTCTTTGCACTTGAGTATTTCTTAGCGATTTCACTATGCGGAAATATTTTTCTAAATAAAGCTGCAGCGTGATCCGATGCATTCAGTGGCAGGTTGTGCTCCAGTAAAAAGGCAGAGAACAGACATTCTGCATTAATCCCTTTTTGGTCTTTTGTTTCCGAAGAAAAATTTAATTTTTCGTTTTTTCAAAACAACTCATGTTGTCCTTATGTTTTTGTGTACATACATGTTTGAGAACATCTGCCCTTCCACCATGCGAAATCGAAAAATCACAACAACAGATGGTACACATCGCAAATTTATTACATTTCCTTGAAGAAATAATGGAAGGAAAGTCAACTGTGTATGATTTTTTGAAACGTGCACGAGTATTTCACCTTTCTCGCAGACATAACAAAAGACGATAATTTCTGAAACTATTTCCCAAAGGCACATGTACTCATACAACTCAGGACAAAATGAACGAAATAGCGAAAGAACATCCAAATAACGGCCAACGGCCTTGAGCTTGCTTTGTGCTCATTGGCTAATATATGCCAAATGACACGCAGTGGAGCTCGATGCCCATTGGAGAACGACGTTTCTGGATATGTATGCTGTCACTCACAAAGCAGAAATTCTCATCTGATTCGCAAGGTTTTATTTTAGATATAATCTAGAGAAAATTCAGTTGCTTTCAGACGTCCAAAATCACTTTTTTTTTTTGTTCATATAATGAAGTATGAAGTCAAGTTCCATAAAAATCATAAGAAATATTAAGAATAAGAAAAAGTCGGGAGAAATATATTGTAAATCGGGTTGGCGGGAGAGCGGTCAAAAATCGGGAGTCTCCCGCCTAAATCGGGAGAGTTGGCCACTCTGTATATATACATAATTCCCAAGGCATTAAACTATTATAACTATAATAGGAGTTTTCTCCACTGAAGATTGAGATTAGAATCTGCCCAATCTGGATTAAAAAAAGCATTTTTCTTTGCAGATATTTTGCATCTACACAAAAGAAAGAAATCTATTTAATGATATTTTTAAATAAATTCAGGTATTTTATAATTATTTAGCAGCATACATAAGCAAAAAATATGCACATTAAATTTCGTGATGGTATGCCATCATACTGCTAGAATTAATTTCAGGATTATGCCAGAAAAAAATTTCTGAAATTTGAAAGTGTTATTTACTAATAATAAATACATTTAGAGGGAAGAAGCAACATTAAATGATACGAATAACATAAAAATAAAGATAATTACTTAAAAATTGAGTTAGAATAATCAACGATATTTTACTGAATATAGTTATATTAAATGGTTAGCCTAGATGACTGATTACTATTTTTTTTATTTTACTGCAAAATGAAAAACAGGGCATTTATTAAAAAAAAAAAAAAAAAAAGATTCAAAACATTTTTGGGTAAAATTCTAGTTTTCGGTAAGGCCTTGGCACAATTTTGAAAATTGTTACCAACATCAAAATGACCCATTTTACTGCTCAGCATAATGTCGGCAAATCCCGTGTGTACCGCACATGGAGGTTAGAACAGAATACATGGAAGTTATTCTAACCAAAGAATGTCTATGTAAAGAAGGAAAGGTTCCATAGACGTAATGCTATTACGCCACTAGAAAACAGAGGGAAAATTCGCCAAGGATTTGGCAACGGAACCTGGTTGCCAGAATTTCCCTCTCCGCGATGTGTGCAGGAAATTGAGGAACTCTTTGACAACACGTTTCTTTTTTTGATTTTTCGCACTAACAGAGACACTCCTGTTGCAGAGTTTTTCCTTCTTAATAATACATATTCTTTGATTCTAACCTCCATGGTACTGTATATTAGGATTAAACTGATTTTGTTTTATACGAGAATAAGTATTTTGTTTAGTCCAACATGCACTGCACATGCGCATGCGATTCTCTAGGTTACTGGAAAGCAAAGCTGCTGGAAACCTGCTTTGCCTTTCTAAAAGACAATCTAATTGGAGTTGCGAAAATTGGTTCTATGCCAGCTGCCCAAATGATGCTCACGGGATACACAATTTGCCAAGAAAGTGATCGCTTCCAACATCGGCGCAAAACTCGCTTTTTTTGGGGGGATCCCCGTATGAAATTCCCTGATTCCCTGAATTTTTTGGTCAATTTTCGAATTCCCTGACTTTTTTCGGATTTCCAGGTAGTGCGGCAATCCTGTTTTCTTCATCTTTATGTTTCAGTAGCGTGTTTAAAATACGCATTTCAATCCCTCTGCCAGCCTTCTCCCCATTCAGTACACAGCATTTAAGTCAGTCTTCATGCACGTGCTTTTCATGAAATGAAGCATGCTAAACAGAAATGAAGTAGCACAAAAAATTTAAGTCAGTTGCCTTTTTTTTTCTGCAGCTGTTGTTTCCATAGTTATGAGTCAAATTGGACAGCAGAAAATAACCTTCAAGTTTCTTCTTCTTCTTCTTCTTTTTTTTTTTTATGTCAACAATTTCTGATCTACTGACTATTGAAGAAGATATTACATCACTTTCCCAAGAAAAAGGCATTTTACCATGCATTCAAATATGCAAAAATGGCCATGAAATGAAACCATATACAAGTGAAACATTTGAAAGTGCAATATAGAAAGTTACAAGCAAAAGAAAAGCACATATTCCTACAACTGCTTCAGTGGCTCCAAAATAATGCTTGTCATAGTGCTACAATTTATTTACTGCATGGGAAAGAAACTAACATTGATTACATGGTGTGAAAAACAACTGAAACTTTTCAAAAATAAGAAAGATAAAAGCTGTCGGTAGACTGCATTTTAATGTATACTTTCTTTCTTTTTAAAAATGTTAGCAACTTCCGATTTACTGACGACTGAGGAAGAAGCTATATCATTCTTCTAAGAAACAGGCATTTTACTTTATTTTAGACAAACTTGGCAATAATCTCACCATAATTATGATGGGGGCTGTGAAAATGGAAAAGCAGCAATTTGTGTGATATATGAAATACAATATATCAGGCGGGGCTTAAGACAGCAATTATCCTCAATGAATATTTTCTCTAATGATTAACAAAAAAAAAAAAAAAAAAAAAAAAAAAAAAAGAGAGAGAGAGAGAGAGAGAGAGAAAGAAATTACCTTTTTACCATATAGGCACTGGTAAAATATGACTCCAACACTCCACACATCTACTTTTGATGATATTTTCGGAGGATTTTTTCCAACAACAAAACATTCTGGAGGTAAATACCTTAAAAAAATAAAGCATGCATTTTTTTTTTACAATTTCATATGTTTAATTAATAATTATATTAAACAAACACACTGATAAGTAACATTTTAAAGAAAATGCGGATTTTAATGTATTAACACCACCATTAAAAAGGCATGAATTTATTTAGAAAGCTATTCAGACTGCTTATTTAGAGACATAACTTAAGTTACTTTAACAGAATTCCTTTAATAAATACATTATTACAAGGTAAGAAAAAAGTTCTTGCTGTTTCTGAAATGGCATTGGAAGAGTGAATCCCAACATAAAAATAGTCACTAAACCTGGCGATGAAGTGGTTAGGATGGGATATCGGACATTGACCAAGAGTATAAAAGCGTGTTGCATCACTACTTCAACTGACTGTACATAACTGACACAGTGACTTTTTGAAATGGACGCATCAAAGGTACTCATTCAGAGTTGTTTGCTGTATGATTTTAAAGTAGGCCTGTCAGCAGAAGAATGAAGTCACCAAACTTGCCAGGCCTTTGGGGATGATGACATTAACAAACGAACCGCTAGGCAATGTTCCAGAAGTTCACATAAGGGAATATGTTTCTTAGTGATGCATCACACAGCGGTCGGCCACAAGCGCTGGGCAATGAGGCCCTGAGAGCAGCCATAGAGAGTGACAGTAGCCAAACATGTTTTGAGCTTGCTGCACACTTCCAGGTATCTGATGAAATGATCACACTCCATTTGCACTGCATAGGAAAGGCATACAAGCTCAGCAAGTGGGTACCTCACTCACTGTCTGATGCAAACGAGCAATAGCGTGTTGCTGGCTGTTTGTCACTGCTTACTCGGCATCACAATGCATCTATATTTGATGGAGCGATGAAAAGTGGGTCCGGTATGACTCACCCAGGCATTGGTTGTCACCATGGGACCACGTGCCTCACACTGCAAGACCTTTTCTTCATCCACGCAAGATCATGCTCTGTATCTGGTGGACTAGATGCAAAGTGTTGCACCATGATCTCCAGCCAGTGGGCCAAACCATCACGACAGGCCTGTTATCGCAGCAGTGTGAACGTGTGCATCAGGCACTGATGCATAAAGTGCCAGCATTGGTCAATCGTAAGAATGTACTCATCCTCCACAATACTGCGAGGCCGCCTGTGGCTCGGGAGGCCAGGGACATCATTCAGAGACTGGGCTGGGAGACAGTATCCCATCTGCCATACTCCCCAGACCTTGCGCCAACAGACTACCATCTTTTTTATTTCCTGGACGACCATCTTCATGGGAAATCCTCCAACAACCAGCCAGACCTCGAAACGGCCCTCACAGACTTTTTTGCGTCCAGGGCTCCAGAGTTTTATCATGATGGCATTGCATTGCTAGCCACTCGTTGGCAAAAGGCACTGGATGCTGATTACTTTTAGCGGTGATTATTATTTGTTTTATGACCTTTTCTGACTGTCCAAAACAGAAGAATGTTTTTGCTTACCTTGTAACTTTTTGAAACCCATGCCCACCTACAGCATGAGAATATAACTTCAAGAAGCAAAATGAATTCTTTCAAATGGAAAAACATAAAGGAAATTTTAAGCATAATTTCACAAATGAATAAAAAGACAATGCTATTAGATGCAATTTAAAATATTGATATTCTTACTAAAAATCATTTACACATTTATATACATTATTCTTCCCAAAAAGATGCCTCGTCATGTTTCTTGTTTTAATTTTCTATGGTTACATTACAGTTACTTACTTCGTGACACTTTAGAAAGAAAGGTTTCAGATTTTAAATTCCCCAAAGGGCTGTTTTTTAACATTTTGTGTGTTACCTTTATTTATTACATATCGTGTTCTTCGTACTTAAACCATAAAATTCAGTTCAAGAGCGATATCGCAAAATAATTTTAAATTGAACATATCTTTAGAATTTCCAATACAGAGTCTCACATGCTGGAGATAAAAATGCTTTTTCTGTAGCAACGTTGACACAACTTGCTTTGAAATCCTTGAGTTTGTTAATCACAAATTCAATAAAGTTTTACAAAATATGAAATTGATAATAAAACAAATTCAAAATTTCAAATTTGGGCTTCCATATGACCATATTCGTAGTAGGATTATATCATTCAAAACTGGATGGCTCTAGGTACCATTGTTTTATCACAATGCGGGAAACATACATACATTTATGCAGATTCTTCATTATTTAATTTCTTCAAATATAATACAGGGCAATAATATTTGGTGGCAAAAGTTTGAAAACTGAAACGGACATTCAGAGTGATTCGACGCAAAATCGCAAAACGAAAACAATAGTCCCTCAGGGACAAAGCCCCTTTGGACTAGAAACCACTTTTCCAGCAATTAAACCATGCATAATAGATCATCAGGCAGTAGATTTGTCTCAAAAAAAAAAAAAAAAAAAAAAAAAAAAAAAAAAAAACATTTACATTGTAAACTTGATTTTTGCAATTAAATATTATTAAAATTCAGGATCACATATTAAACACTTGCAAGGTTATTATAATTTTACATAACCAGTTATTTTATGATTTAGATTATTACTGTCACTTCTCCTTTCCAGAATGCTTCCTCCCTACCAGATTGCAAATTCAGTTTGAGGAGCATTTAAGCTGAGGTTTTCGGTTTTAAGACAGAGCGTGCTTCTGCCTCTTGAGGCTATGTTACTATGTTTACACTAGCTCAGGTAAGACTGTATTCTTCGACACTGCATTATAGTTTCTAACATTTAAATAGTTATGTTGGTGAGAAATTTTGAGCCAACTTTACGTTAAACCTTTGGCTACCGGACATGGTATTAAATCTTGAAATTGAGTGTTACTCTAAGTTACGTTGTCACATGTGATTGGCTGATTTCGTCAAGCAGAAGGTGTAAATTTATGTTCTGGCTCTGATTTAATGATAAAGTTTGTTAAACCTTCTTAAGAATTTAGAGTACTTTTCAGACACAGCAATAATTTTATGTACATCTGCACGGAATGTGGACTTAGTTTATGCTACCAAAAACCCCGAAACTCTATACTGGCGCCCGAACAAAGGTTCAAGAGAATGCAACTTTTAGTTTGGTTCCTCCAAGGTCTCACTTATACGAGTAACTCTCATGTAAAGTTTTGGGTTCATCGTGGATATGATCCGAGTGTCCATGAAACCTGTATCCCAACAACATGACAATATCACTGTGATATTGCAAACATACCACCCTGTGATGACCTCAGTGTCACAATGCTGTTGTAGGTATGGCTTAATGTTCACTTTTTTTGTGATGTATATCAAATTAAATTACCAGTGAAAGGAGAAACTATTTCAATCTGCATACTTTTTGTAAAAAGAACAGAAAACACTGGCATCAAAAGAAAGTTGAACTTACTCTACAAATATTAATGACACTGAAAAATACATAATTCTTGAAGTCATCGAAGCACCAGTCATAATAAAAGCAGTTCATTTTATCCTTTCAAGAAACCATAAATGAAATTTCGTGTAGAATTGTTAAACCTTCTTAAGAATTTAGAGTACTTTTCAGACACAGCAATAATTTTATGTACATCTGCACGGAATGTGGACTTAGTTTATGCTACCAAAAACCCCGAAACTCTATATTGGCGCCCGAACAAAGGTTCAAGAGAATGCAACTTTTAGTTTGGTTCCTCCAAGGTCTCACTTATACGAGTAACTCTCATGTAAAGTTTTGGGTTCATCGTGGATATGATCAATATCACTGTGATATTGCAAACATACCACCCTGTGATGACCTCAGTGTCACAATGCTGTTGTAGGTATGGCTTAATGTTCACTTTTTTTGTGATGTATATCAAATTAAATTACCAGTGAAAGGAGAAACTATTTCAATCTGCATACTTTTTGTAAAAAGAACAGAAAACACTGGCATCAAAAGAAAGTTGAACTTACTCTACAAATATTAATGACACTGAAAAATACATAATTCTTGAAGTCATCGAAGCACCAGTCATAATAAAAGCAGTTCATTTTATCCTTTCAAGAAACCATAAATGAAATTTCGTGTAGAATTGTCTTACAGTGGGGATAGGGGAAATGGTCATAGCATGCATATTTACCTTACATAAATCCCTGTACCATGTATGAGATCATGGACCTTCCTAGACCATGCATCCTTGGACTTCAGTGGGATACTAATAAGGATATCTTCTGTTTTAATGTTGAAGATGTTAGAGATTTTACCATGCCAGATGATCAAAAAGTGTTATGTTTTGAAAGCTGCTTCAAAAATCCTCAATTCTGCTGGATTTTTTTGCTCCAAATAATACAGATATATTAGATGTTAAAATCAAGCCCATCTCCAAACATTTGACATTGCTTTAACAGACCCCAAAGGCATAAACAGAATGAGTAATGAGATTTTGGTTTTAATTGGTACAGGTAATATATGAAAAATAGCAAGTGAAGAATTAAAAAGGATAACAGTAATAGTAATGCTGCAGTGATGGAAATCTTGTTTGGTTGATGCATACAAGGGATATTTTCCTTCTCTAGACTTTCAAAAGTACTATGCATATTTAAATTTAAGCGCAGTAGAGATGCTTTTAATGGCTTCAAATAATTTAGAGACATTTAATCAATAGGAATAAAAAATATTTCTGATCAGGGTGGGGGAGGCTTCACAAATATTTCAGAACTCAATTACTCAAAAAGAAGACCAATATGAAGTTAGACTTCCAAGGAAAGATGAAAATGTGACTTCAAGTCATGTGTCAAGTGACAATTTTAAGAATGCTGAAAGACAAATTTTAAATTTGATTAAACAATTAAAATCAAACTTGAATTTTTTGTGCACAATATAAAGACCTAACAGACAGTCAATTTAAGGAAGGAATAATTGAAAAGGTCTATCCTGGCACTCCATTTGGAAAATAAACTTATATTCCTCATCATACTGTCATCTATGAAGATCACAACAAAACTTTGCATTGTTTATGACGCCTTTTCAAAGGAAAATAATTTTGAATCTT